GGAGAGAGAGAGAGAGAGAGAGAGAGAGAGAGAGAGAGAAAATATATTAACCGTAATTGCATTTCGAGAAACAAATTAGACTCATTTTATTTCAGGTTTTTTTTTCGAATGTGGTTTCTAAATCTATAATACATGTACCTAAATCACCTAAAGTACCTATAGGATAATTATGATTTTTTGAAAAATAAAATAAAAAAAGCTTTATGATTCAAACTTGAAAATTTAATGTGTTCCAAATGATGATTATGATGATAATGATGCAATTATAAATCTCATATTTCAATCAATTAATCAATCAATCGATTCAACCGCACACACACACCGAAAACATATTTATTTTCTGATTAATATGATTTTTGTTTTTGTTTTTTTTTTAATTTTCTTCTTCATTTATTATCAAAAATCGATTTACTAATCACCGTAGACAATAACGAAAAACAATTACAACGGATGGGAGAGAGAGAGAAAATCATTGAATCATTTTCATTGAAAATAAATGATATGATTTCAGGGTTTTCTGTTTTGTTTTTTTGGTTATATATTGATTCTCATTAATCTTTTTTTTTTTGTTTTGTTTTGAATTCTTTGTTGTTGTTGTCTGCCAATGAAGGCCGATCGGAAATCGGTATCGATAACAAACAAGAGGGAGAGAGAGAGATGATATTATTTATGATGATGGCCAAAATCGTTACATGTGAATGATGATGATGATAATGATGGTGATGGTGGTGGTGTACAATCAAATTGAAAAAATTTTGGTCATCGATACAAAGAGAGAGGAGTTGAAAAGATTTCAATTTCAGATTGCAACAACAACAACAACAACATGAAATTGTCATTTAATGACCTTTTTTTTCTGGTGCACTTGCTGCTGATAATAATAAAAAACTAAATGAAAAAAAACTGAAAGATTCCTGAAACTATGGTCATTATTTGTTAGCAAAATGAATGAGATTCTGCTTTTTCACTTGAAATTCTGAATAATTCTGAATAGACAAGGGAAAAACTTTTACTCATTCCTGCTGCAAATTCAATTTATCATGTAGATCAATGTCCAATGTTTTTCTTTCTTTTTTCACTAACCAAATTATTCAATAATGTAATATCTTTCCCTGGAATTTCAATTAGAAATTCTTAAGCATTACGGTCTTTGAAGAATATTTTTTTTTTTTTTGCTTTGAAATTAATTCAAGTTTTCATTGTGAAAATGTTTTTCTCATTAGGGAAAAACATAACGGAAACAATATTTATCAAGAATTCGGGGTTTTCTTTAGTTTTTTTCATTGCAAAGAAAATATTACATACCTGGAGCAGATCCACCGGCTGCCTGCGTTTATAAATTTTTTTCAAGGGAAAAAGGAAGAAAAAATAGGAAAAAAAAGAAAATGTCAGTCAAGTTAATCAGATTAGTTTTAGTTTTCAGAAATGATATTTTTGTTTTGTTTTATCTAGTGGAAATGTTCATTATTTTTTTTGCTTCTGTTTGAAATTCTGAGAATTCAAAAAATTTTGTTTTTTTTTGTCTTGCGAAATTAGATAGTTTGCCTTATGATAAATGGGTGAATCCACAGACCAATTGTTTCATTCGAAGAAAATTATTTGTTAGAATTTTTTCGTTTTGGTCAAAAAAAAATCCAATAAATAATAATAAAAGAGAGGGGATAATTTAGAAACACTGGACAATTTAAAATGTTCAAACTTCGGGAAAAAGACTTATTTTTTTTGAAAAAAACCAAAAAAGAAAATATTTCATCTGGGTGACATTGAAATAAATTTATTACAATGATGGGTGTTATCAACGTAACTGCAGTGAATCTGGTACTCGTTTGAATTACCCTTTTTTCACATTAAAGTGATTCGAGAAAGATTCCATTGTTTGAAATTCGTTTTTTAATGATATGAAATTTTAAAACAAAACAGTGAAATGACACAGCATGATGACAATAAAATGAAATTAAAATTTACGAAAAAAAAATTCCTTTAATGTCTTCAATGGATGGATAAATATCGCCATAGCACTGAAAATGGTTAAATGACGAAGAAAGCTAGATTCCAAGAAAAACTTTTTCAAGCATAATTCGATTGAATCATCAAAATAATAATAATAATTTTTTTTAGACCACTGGATCAACACCGAATTGAAAAGGCTGAGAAAAAAAGTTTTTGGCACACTGGAAAAAACCCTAACATAAATGTTTATGATTATCCATAAATTACAGAATATTCGGTAGGAAACAACAGAATTTTATCAAGAAAAAAAAATTAAATCGAAAATCAAAAATATAACAAAAAATGATTCAACCAAAACTAACTAACTAACTAACTAAAGTCAATATGAATCATTGAGTAATGTAATGTAAGCAAAAGAGTAAAAAAAAATATAATATAATAACTTACCATAAATGTTGCACCGGCAACATCTTCACTAATAGCCAATTTTTCCGTTATAACATCCAATGATGGTATAAAAAATTCATCACATACAATTGCTAATGCAACAAACATATAAATCATTCCTATTATATGAAATATAATGGCACCATTTCTACGTTGTTTTTCAGTAAAAAGATCTGGTGGAAATTTTGGATCTTTAATCGGTAATCCATCATCATCATCATCATCAATGATAGCTGATGTAAGCAATTTTCGAATAGAAATAAAATGGGAAGACAATTGATCGTTATTATTATTATTATTATTGATATCAATATTATTGGCCAATGGTGATGATTTTGTTTGTACAATAAATAATGATGAATGAATGTCCATAGACGAATCAGAAGAAGAAGAAGAAGAAGAAGTTGTTACGGTAGTGGTTATATGATTATCATCATCATCTATTTGAAATAATATTGAACATATAAACATTGTAAATAAAAATATTGTTGATAATGACCAAATACAAATACGCCATATTCTTCTATAATGATAACGTTTCATACGATATTTATTTAAACAATAATTTGATTTAAAATTGATATTCATTATTGGTCGTTGTAGGCTGATTTATTGTTGTATTTTGTCTGAATTAATTGATTGTTGTTCAACCACACACACACGAAAAAATTGATAAAGATGTTAATATCAATCACCTACGCAACAAAAAACACACACACAAAAAATTCGTGGAATCATATCCAACAAATGATTTCGAAATAAAGTGAACTTTTCTATTTTTTTTAAAAAAAAGAAAGAATTTCCAAGTAAAAAATCTTTTTTTGATTTGTTTTTCATTGAATCAATGTTATGAATGTGTAATTCATGTGTGCAATGATGACAATATTTTTTCGGAAACAATTTAATGAACTAATGAACAACAATGAATTCAATGTTTTTCGTTTTCTGGTCATATAGATCTTTTTATTTCACGGTTACTGGTTATACTGGTTACTGGTTATACTGGTTGTTGTTGTTTTGGTAACCGTATATAATACATACACAAATCCGAATTGGAATATAGAACGATGATGATGATGATGATGATGATCCACGAATATCCAACAGTTTTTTTTCGTTGTTGTTGTTGGAAGCAACCTAGAATAATAATTTTCTTTTCTTTCGTTTTTTGTTGAACAAATAATAATAATAAAATAGGTTCCATTGATTAATATTATTTGCTACTACTATTTTTTTTGAAATCAGTTACTGATTGTCTTTTTTTTCATATTCCTTTGTGGTTTTTTTGGATCTTAAACCTGTACATGATATACATGCAGTAATCGTTGTTAACGGATATAATTTTATTCTTGTTGTTGTTATTTTTATACGAACAAAAAAATTATCGATTCTATACATATAACCAAGTGTATGTTCCAGTTGTGTTTTGTTATGTTTTCTCATTCGACTAATTGTTCACAATTCATTCAAATGATGATAATGAATATGGAACAAACTAACTAACTAACTATGATTCAATTATTCCATGGTCACATATAGAGAGTGTATATATAATATTATAATGAATTTGTCTTTTGCAAATGAATCATTTATCTTTAGCCAATTTTTTTCTCTTTGGTTTGTTTGACGCCAAAGGAAAAAATTCTCCAGAGAATCCTGAACGAAAAAAAAATTATCAAGAAGCAATTATTCTATATACAGGAATATATCCATTGAATCTAATGATAGTAAATTTTGAAAGAAAGAAAGAAAGAAAGAAAAAAAAATGTATGATGATTGTTGTATGTGGTTAAAGTCGATTTAAAATTCTAATCATCATTCCTTCTTTTACTGTATAATTTCTGTGATAATAATCGGTATAATCCATCATGATTATTCATCATGATGGTCATTTTTAGTTTTTCTTTCGAGAAAGATAGAAATTTAGGCCAAGATCAATTTGGGTTTTTTGTTTTTTATCTATCCATGATAATAGTAGCAGTAGCAGTGGTAATAATTGAATGGGAAAATATTCATGAAATGAATCGAAGGTTATCAGTTGTTGTTTTTGTTTTGGTTTTTCTAGTTTGAAGTTTCACTCGGTTCTGATGTCAATGTCAATGATATGTTATTGTTGTTGTTGTTTTTTGTCAGGAATATCAACAAAAAAAAACGTTATTCGACCAATCAAATAAACGAAAATATTGGTCATGTCCAAAAAAATTCTCATTTACATAACACGAATACATGACAGGTGTAGTGTGTATGTAAATTTGAAAATGAGAAAAAAAAAGACCAAATATTTGATAATTCTCATTCCTTTCATTACATGAATTTGAATATGAAAAAAAATCCAATTGCCACTGTTGAATAGTTGGCCATGTTTCGCCACTATTTATTTATTTGTTTGTTTGTTTATTTTTTTATATATAAAAAACAGAAATCTGATTTTTGAATATTGCATATCAATCAATCAATCCAGCGGACAAATGAACCCGATTTCATCGAAAATCAAAACGAAAATCCGGGAAAAAACATTTTTTTTTAGATAGAATTCTTTTATTTATTTATTTCAATCATTTTATTATTCAAATTCTGTTAATCCAAAATCAAAATAAGAAATAAAAAACACAAAAAAAACAAAGATAAACAGATGATGAAACAACAGAATGTTTTTTGCACTTTTACACACACACAAATATTCGAGATTTTTTTGGTTTTTGAATCAAATAATTTTTTTTCTTGTGAGCAATCAATATAAATAGGTGTGTGTGTGTGTGTATGTGTTAATAACAATGAATATGAAGGCGTTTTGTTTTGTTCATCATTACAACCATATATACCGAAGACATAAGAAAAGATAAAAGAAGAATTGAATAAATAGATAAAAAAAAGAAGAAAAAATAAAATAAAATAAAATAATTATAAAGAAATTATAAAATATCGTTAAGAATTTATCCTGGAAACAATGAGCTGAACAATTTGTTTGTTTGATTGATTGATTGATTGACAATCGCTGGACCAATAATCCATAATCCATGATGATAGTTAGCAGCAAAGACTAGACTTGTATAATTTTTTTTTGTTTGAATAATGGAATTGAACTTCAGTGTCTTCTTCATTTTGTTTTTTCTTGTTCAACAGAAAAACAAAAACAAAATACCCACACCATAAAAACAAAGAAATTTAAAAAAAAAAAATTATAATTTTTTGAGCAAGAAATTATAAAAAGAAGAAGAAGAAATTATAAAAGGAAGAATTTTTGTTTATAAAAAAAAAGTGTAAAATGTTTTTTTTTGTTTTTCACTATAATGAATGGAATTGATCAAATGAGATATTTTTGTTTTTCAAGAATGAAACACACACACACAACAAATTTTTTCAGTGTAAAATAAACAACAAAATGATAATGATGATAATGATGATGATGAGAATAAATTGTATATCAATTTTCATCATTTATGCATGTTTTTTTTGTTTTTGTTCTTCGTCACAAACACACACACACACAAAAGGTTGAATAAATGAATGGAAAATTTTTTTTTAAAAAAATTTAAATTAATGATTGTGAACGTATTTGTTCATCAATCAATTTGATTGTTTGATAAACTTCTGATGCATTCGGTCGACATTCCGGTTGATATGCCCAACAATCTAACATAAGTTTATAAACAGATTCTGGACAATTTTCTGGACATTCAAGACGTTTGCCTTGTTTAAGATGGGTAAGTAATTCTTGTACATCTTCTTTATTTGAATCAATTTCTTTATATAATGTTTGTCGACAATAACTGTACATTTCTATTGATTTTTTTTTTAAAAGAAAACGAAAAGAAACAGTTAATTGTTGTTATTTTTCACAAATCACAAATATTATTTTGTAAAACAAAACATACCCCAAATGACAATTGCATAGCTCCAAATCTAGAAATACAAAAATAATTGAATTAAAATTACAAATATTAAAGTAAAAAAAACAAGAATAGGAAATCCAAAAACTTACATCCGATTCGAATCGAAACATATGTCGTTCAAATGATTCTGGAGCGTGCCTGATTTGTTTTTTCACAATAATTAAAGAGAAGGATTATAAAACTTATAAAAATTTCAAATTAGAAATAAAATTTTACCATTTATATGGTAGACCACGAATACTACGATAATTATATTGAGTATCATCTTCAAGTATATGAGCTAAACCAAAATCAGCAATCTTAACCGAATTACCACTTGCAACAAGAATATTTCTTGCAGCTAGATCACGATGAATAATATGTTTACTGGCAAGAAAATCCAAACCACATGCAATATCGGTTGCAAATTTTGTCATTTCAAGATTATCATTTGGTCCTTTAGTTTCTAGAAATTTTACTAACGAACCTAATGGCATATATTCCATAACTAATGCTTTTGATGGTACTATTTTGAAGAAGAAAATAATATGTATTTTTTTCAAAAACTTCAATTTTTCATTCAACAAAAAACAAACCTTTTAAATATTGATCAACATCAACATTTGAAAAGCCACGTATTTCAACAATATTACGATGTCTTAATTTGGTCAATATTTTAATCTCTTCACTTAGGCTTGAGATTTTATTATCGGAAACAACTTTTAATGCAACATATTTATCATCACATGTTGCCTGATATACTTTTCCATAATTTCCCTAAAAATATTAATTATAATCATTAATTAATTTACAAAATTAATCAAAAAAACAATTTACCTCTCCAATAATTTTCAATACATTGATTCGATCTTTTGATATACATTCCAAATTATCCATAGCCTGTATATGACGATAATCATCTGTTTCCGATATAAGAAATGCATCTTCCATTTGATCATAAATTGTTGTTTCAGTTGTTACATCATCTAAATCATCCAAATCATCATTACCATTATATATTGATAATGGCCGTTGTTGATAACCATTTACAATTGGTAATAATGATGAACGTTTATTATAGCCATTATTATTGATCATACTAATACTATTACTACTATTACTACTTTCTCTACGATTATTCTTTAAATATGATGGATATTTATTATTATTCTGATTATTATTACCATTTTCAATATTCATTTTAAGAATCATTTCATTCGTTAAATTTTCATTAATAACATATTGTTTACGATATTTTCTTGCATCATAAAGTATAAGTACTAGTTCACGAAATACACCCGATGGTGGTATACGATTACAAAAATCTTTATCCCAACATTTTTTCGTTAATAAATGTATTGATTCAGGCATTGCACATAGATTAACTTGATCAATATTCATATAATTGAATAATGGTTTATTACCATTATGAAATATTTCCCACATTGTTGTACCGAATGCCCATACATCACTATAATTGGTATGTTTTCGAAAGAAAAATCCATTATCATTAAAATATTCTGGTGGCAGCCATGGTTGTTCAATTGTTTGATTAAAATAACAACTAAATCCAATTGGATCACCTAATTTTATGAATAATGATGTTTTTGAAAAATGTGATACAAAAAGATTATCAAATTTTATGTAACCATGACTTAAATTATGTGTATAAAGATAATCTAATGCTTTAGCCAAACAAAAAGCTGCTTCAATAAGATTGAATGGATTAAGTTTACATTCTTGTAATGAATAATAATCACGTAATGTAATATGACAATGTTCAAATAATATTGATAATGGATGCATTACAACACCTTTACAATTCATTATGGAAACATTTTTCAATTTACTCCATTCATCAATTTCTTTCAATAGATTTTCACTACGTGCCGATTCTTTGGAATCAATAAATTCTTTGATAAAAACTTTTTCCTCTTGATTACTGACCAATTTAACAGTACCGATACGTGTACAAAATACACCATTATTATTCATTGTTAATATAGATTTTTTTATACGTTCATTCTGTATAATTGGTAAAATATCATCATTGGATTTTATTTTGTTCATATCATCTTCACGACTACATAGCAATAAATCCGGTAGATGATCATTTTCACCAAAAAGAATCGGTTGAAATAGATTTAATTGTTTTTGTAACCAAATTAATAATTCTGAATAATCGGCACGAATATCCGTTTCATTGAAATCATCTTTCCAACTGAATAATGAATTATCCGATGATTGTGGATGCCATTTTAGATTAAAATATTTTAGTTGATTTTGTTGTTCATAACAAAGTTTTAGTGAATAAAAATCTGTATCACTTTGTCGTAGAAGAAATTGTCCGGAATTTTTTTGACCATCACGAATTTTTTGCAAACGATTTAATACAAATTCATCTTGAATTGGACCAAAACAATTAATTTTTTTCAATTTTTTCAACATTGGTGAATAATATTCAGCCGATAGATTTAGATTCCAATGCATTGATAAACGATGATAACCGGACAATAATGAAATGAATGATTTCATTTGTCCTAATTGTGGAAAAATAATTGTTAATGCTGGTCGATTAACAAAACAGATGAGTATTTTTCTTCGATCCAATGCAAGTATATTGATACTGGAAATTTCTTCAATTGGAAACCATATTTTCCATTCATCATGATTATTAAATTTAACATTATTTGTTGATGAATTTCGCCAGAAAATTTTCTGCTTTTGCCAATCATAATATACTAAATGTTGTGATGTAATAATCGATTGAATATTTGTTGATTCAAGAATAATATGATAAATTTCATGAAATGCATTAGCTAATTGTATTGATGATATATCATAAAATGAATGAGCACATGATAGAAATTGTTTTATATAACAAAATTTAACCCATATTTTATCTGTATCTTTTTTACAATTACGTTTAAATATTTTTCTTAATTTATCACCAATGAATAAAAATTTTGGTTTCACCATATTTTTTGGACAATGTTTTTTTATCTGACTTATATATGAATCACAACGTTCATCAGCACGATGTAATTTTTCTTCATCTTCAATAGTAACACGAATTAGATCAATCAATGCAATACCATATACTTCTTCTAATTCATCTTTTTTAAATTTTTTCTTTGGTATATAAAGAAAATCATGTCGAATTTGATGAAAATAATAATCTAAACATTCTAGATCAATATCCTATATATCAATGGAGAGAAAAAAAAATATATATTTCAGATCAATTTTAAGAGAAAATCATTAACCAAATCAAACATACCTTTAGTTTATTAATGAGATTTAAATGTGTATAACGTATTCGTAGTTGAAATTGTAATATTGAATTATTATTATCATTATTATTATTATTATTAAATAATTCATCAATCATTGTATGAAGCTGTTGATTTGGTGATAACCATAAATCTGATTCAACATTATAAAGGCCAAATAAATGGGCACAGATTGTTGTTATTTTAAATGATGATGTTAAATAAAATACTAAATCTTCAGCATAGATTATATTATTAAAATTATTGATATTTTGTTCATTAGGTTCATCAACATCTGTTGCCATTGTCACCATCATTGATGGAATGATTATTGTTTGATAATCATTTTTATTAAAAACGAATACATTTATTTTGATTGATGATGATAATTCGGAATCTGTTGTTGTTGTTGTTGTTGTTAATGGTGGTTGTGGTGGTGGTGATGATATTGATGAAGTTGATGGTGAAGGTGATGTTGTTGCGGTTGTTGTTGATTGTCCCATCATTGTTGTTGATGACATCATTTTGTTTTTCAATTTGAACTTTTAAAAAAAAATTCAATAAACATAATTTAATTAAGTTTTTGTTGTTGTTGTTGTTGAAAATTCACTGTTAAACGAATAAACATTTGTCAAATAAACAAACTTCATAACCAAAAAAAAAGAAAGAAGAAAACCTTACCTTGAACAGGTGAAATGAATGATTTTGTTGATCATTATCATTAAAATCGTTAATGTTCAAGAAAATGTTCGAAACATGAATCATTATTTTGTTCAATAATTACATTTGAATAAAAACCAGGCACTAAATTAGAAACAAAAAAAATCTTGAAAATGTGATGAAATCGAAACAAAACAAAACAACAAATATTCTAATCTTTTCAATCGCCAATCCAATGTGTGTTGTATGTGTTTTACGCCGCATACAACACAAACACATAAAGATATCTATATACAAAAATGAATGAAAGATCCAAATGAATGCGAATACTAAAGCACATCTAAAGATATAGAAGAGAGAGAGACACCAGGATTCTCATGATCATCATGATGATGATGATGGTGATGATGATGATGATAATAGACGCAAACAACAACAACAACAACAACAAAACATACTGAGAGACATAACAAATCAATTACGCATGTGCATTTCGAATGATATTTTTTTTTTTTTTTTTTTTTTTTTTTTTCGAATGAATTTTGCTTTTTTTTTTAGTTGTTTTTNTGATGATGATGATAATAGACGCAAACAACAACAACAAAAAATACTGTGAGAAAGAGAGAGAAAAAAAACAAATCAATTACGCATGTGTATTTCGAATGATATTTTTTTTTTTTTTTTTGTTGTTATTTTCGAATGAATCTTGCATTTGTTTTAGTTGTTCTTGTTTGTTTGTTTTGTTTTTCCTGATACGTTTCTCTTTTTCTTCTTCTTTCTTAACATTCATTCTTATTTCTTGTTTTGTTTTGTTGGATTTTCACAAAATTGCTAATCTTTTTTTTCAATCTATGGCCATTTTATAAGATTAATGGATGTAAATAAATTACAAGAAAAAAAAATATTTAACTATTTAGTGAATCAGCTGTTTTTGTCTTTTTAATTTGATTGAAAAAATTTTCTCGTCATCATCATCATTATCATTGTCGCCATTATGATCGAAAGGAAATTCGGATTTTATGCATTTGGATTGTGTGGAAAAAAATCTGATCATAATCGTAATCAAAAAATTATAAACATATTTGTACATTTGTGATTTTGTTTTATATTTTTATCAATTTTGTTCTGATTAAAACAAATCAGCAGTTGAAATTTATTAAATAATGATAATAAACATGTCACCAAATTTCCGGACAATGGCCTCATCATCCGGCGATATGATTCGAATGAGATTTTTGGTATTGAATTTTTTTTCATGTTTTTCAAAAATTTGACAATTTTTTGTTTTTATCTTTTTTTTTATAAAAAAATTATAGAATCCATCCGATCTGGATGTTGTTCGACGCCTTTGTCAAGAATGGTTCCCTGTACGATATCCGGATGCCTGGTATGAAACAATTGTTAATAATCATAATCAACGATTCTGTAGTCTTGTTGCAACAATCAATGATGAAATTGTTGCATTATTAGTCACCGAAATTCGTTCGTATCAGAATTTAAATTATGAAGATTTTGGTTTTCTTGCTAAACATTTTGAACATTATGATAATATACAAGTTGCATATATATTAACATTAGGTGTTGTAAAACGTTTAAGACGTCGTGGTATAGCAACATTATTAGTTAAAAATTTAATACAAAATCTTCAAACAATATCAACATTAAAAAATGATTGTAAAGCTATATATTTACATGTACTAACAACAAATATGTATGCAATACGTTTTTATGAAAAATTACAATTTCAACGTTACAAATTATTACCACTTTATTATTCAATTAATGATTGTTCATATGATGGTTATTCATATGTTTATTATTTAAATGATGGTCATCCATCATCATGGTGGTTACCATTAATTAATCCTAAATATCATTTATTAATTGTACGTAATTCATTACGTTCAATCACCATACAAACATATTATCAATGTGATCATATTTTACAGAGCTTTTCATTATTATCATCATTAATAACTAGATGGCCATTGAAATTTTTACGTAAAATTTTCGATACAATTTTATGTCGTCATCGTTGTTCATTATTTAAATTACATGATGATCATTATCATTATATTAATAATCATTATTATGATGAACAAAAAAATCATCTTTATGTTTGTTAAAATATAGACATACACATACATACACACTAAAACCAAAGATTCGGTATTTTTTCCTTATTAATTCGATATCGAAAATAAAAGTTTTAAATTTTAAACAGTTTTCATTGATTTATTCAAACAAATTTCATCATTATCATCATCATCATCAATGTTTGTTCTTTTTGCATCATTTTTTACCATTTTCCCTGGTCTTGATTTAGGTCCCCAATATTGTTCCGGATTCAATTGATAACGTAATAAATTTTTTGATTTTGATAATGGTTCTTCTTGTACTAATGTATCATTGATTGTATAGGGAAAATTTTTATCCAATATATTTTGTATATGTGATGGTATACGTTTTGATTTATGAGAGGATTCGGATTTTTTTGCAACATGTTTAATCATTGCCCATATAAATTCGTTTGGTGCATTAGTTTTCATTGTATTTTTGAATGCATGTGATAATGAAAATTGATAACCACCATTGATTAATATTGAACGAAATGTTTTCATCGATGGCATTGGACAACAAACAATTGAACAAAGACGATCTAAATGATAATATAATGGACAATCATCCAATTCTTCGGAAACTAATTGTAACATTCCTTCTATACGACGATATGTACCGAATTGATTGTCACCAGAATTTTGTAATGTTTCTAATTCATTTTGAAGTTGATGTACAAAATCTTTATCATGAATAGATGATGACCAAATTGGACCACCGATTCGATAAGTATGGCCACAAATCGAACATATTTTATCACATTCAACTGTTGCTGGAATCAAATTTTTTTCATTACCATCTTTCATCTCACAAAGTGGTTGAAGATGAAATGATTCACAACCTTTACATAGATAAATGTATGACATTTTTTTCATTGATTGTTGTGCTTCTTTTTTCGAAGTAAATACACGAAAAAATATACGAGCATAAAAATCTATGCTCAATGAAAGCAATGGAATAGCATGTCGTCCATAACGTGCTGCATGTGAATTAACTGATGCACAAATAATTCGTAAGGCCATTTCATGACAAAATTTTGCCCGTAATGGATATGAACCATATTTAGCAAAACATGCATTACCATGATTACCACATAGGACGGCCATATCAGTTGAAGTAACCATTAATAAACCACCATCGACAATATTCTGAATAGCTGAATCAAGAAATTGTGTTGGACTTCCATATGGATCCAGATCGATGATTGTAATTCGTTCGTTTAAAGCTTTTTTCTTGTGCATCAACATACTAGCATCTTCATTCGTAACGATAACATTATAAACATCGTTTAGTTGAATATTCGATTCGATTAAATCGATTGCATCTTCCGAAATATCATTGGCAATAATATCGATCGGTAATGAACATTGTTTGCATTCTAATGAATATCTAATCGATCTTAATCCAGTAGCTGAAAGTGCATCCAAAATCGATACACGATCTTTAACATAATTTTTTGGCACTGATAATGAATAATTCCAAAGTTGATGCTTCAGATACGTATGAACAGCTAAAACACTGTTGGACAAAAATCAATTTTTGAAAAAAAGTAAACGAAAAAAAAATAACCTACCTAAGATCACGATTAAATTCTTGAACTACATTATAGAATACTTGTTTTTGACAATTTATACGAGCTTTACCTTCACGAATTATTTTATTATCCTTACCATCACCATTATTATCTTTATTTGAATCCATTTTTTTTTGATTTTGAAACGAAAAAATTTATTGCGGCGTGCCACAAAATGTCCATTTCGAATGAATGATTCCGATTAAGTCGGTATAGCCATTTTATGATGACGTCTTTCGTGATCATTCTCTCTCTATCTCTCTGCATTGCACCAAAAAAGATAAATAAAAACAAATCAAACACAACACATTTGACTAACTGTTGTTTTTATTTTTAAAAAATTCAATTTTTAATATTTTTAAAATCGTTAATTTGTTTTTTTTTTATAGAAAAAATGTCCTTAAAAGATATCGATAAATTCATCTCACAATTTGTTCATAAATGTACACAAGTAATTGTACAATCACGTTTAGGTAATTCACAACGAACCAAAACTAAATGTAATCCAAATGGTAAAGATTGGTTTAATTTGGATATTGTTGATATAAAAGATGTTTATGAAAATGCACAAAAATGTTTAAAACATATGTCATGTGGTCAGCAAATGTTTTTTGTACAAAAAGAATGGAAAATTTGTTGTGAAATATTGTTAAAAAATGCTGATAATATATCGATTACATTGGAATATTGGATATTTTCCAATCATCCGTTGATTAATGAAAAAGATTTTGAACAAAAACGTATGGATGAATTTTCACAAAAAGTATATGAAATATTTATACGAATGAGTAATATGATTAAATCATTGATCGTATTAACACGTTCAACGCCTGCATATCGTCTTAGTTCAAAAGGACAAAGTGCCGATTCTTATGTGATTTGTTATCGTATTTATCCATTAATGAAAGATAATGCAGATTTTATTCATCGATTAACCGATCAAACTAGACATTATTCACCGTTGAAAACAATCGGTGTCATACGTAGTGATGTAAATGAATTATCATTATCATTTATTTATCGAATCGATATGAATGTAACAAGTGAATCGGAAATTGAAAATCTAACACAATTAAATGAAACGGCCAAAAATAATAATGATAATAATCAATATTTTGATGATGAAGAAGAAGATAATTATATTGTTAATGCAAATAAACAATTATCAACCGAAGATGATGAAATACAATTATCAATGAAAGATGATCATTTTAAAATTGATCTAACAAATGAACCACTCGATATGTTTGATATAATCAAACCATTAAATCCAGCATTTGCATCAAAAGATTTGAATAATTTTGAAACTGATTATACTGTTCCATTCAGTTCTTTATTATCAATGTCAAAAGAAATTGAACCAATGAAAAATATTGATGAACCACAAACAACGACGACAACAACAACAACAACACCAAAATCATCACCATCATCAAATCCGATAAAAATACCATCATCAAAAATAAAATCACAATCAATAAAATCACCAACATCACAGCAAATTTATTCAACATCGAATGAAAGTTTTGTATTTGTTGAATTGAATGCACCGTTTGCATCGGAAGAAAGTCTTTTACAATCATTTTTTAATGGTCCATCACCAACATTTATACAACAATCAAATGATAGTGATTCAATGAATGATATGGATGAATTAAGTATACAATTAGCCGAACTGGAATCGGCTGCAACACAAATCGATAGTTTTGTTGAATCAATATGTGTAACAAATGAAAATGAAGATTTAAAACTTGAAACCTAAATATTAATCGGATATCTTCATCATAATCATCATCATCATCATTTTTAAATACTCATCAAAATGTTTTTTGTTTTGTTTTGTTCAATGAATGATTTTCATTTTTAAAGATTGAAATTTTGAAAACAAAATACTGAATTTTAAAATGAAAAAATCAATGATCAAAGTTATCAACATATAGATGGCACTGATTGTCATTTTTGATTATCACATGTGCGTTTTTTTTCTTTCTTGCCATAATAATTTATCTATTCGAATATTTATCTTTTTTTGTTGTTTTATCGTTTAAAATTTTCATTATTCATTTGAATAATTTAAAAGAAAAAGAAAAAGTTTATTTATTTATCAAAAAATGACAACGATTGAAACGAAAAAATTATTAGAATATCGTTTGAATGGAACGGATATGATTTATGATTGTCAATTTCATTCGGATCATCATGATTGGATTGGATTCTCTACTATTGAAGGTGATATTAAAATGTATGTATTATTTGTTTGATATAAAAGTTTATTCATTTATAAAGTTTAATTGTAATTTGAATAGAATGAAATTCACTGATGATAATGATGATTCTTATAAGCCAACAACCGTTTATGAATGGAAAAAATATCATCGTGGTAATCCTATTCGTAAGATACGTTTTCATCAGAATCGAATGTTTTCAATATCGAAATCGATTAAAATTACTGATTTACAAACACAGAAATTGATTAGAAAAATTTCTAATGGAAAAAAGAAAATCTATTCACTGTTAGTTATCGATGATTATCTTGTTTGTATTGGTGATGATGATGGTAATTTTAAATGTTGGGATTATCGTATTGAACGTCCAATTCATATGTCATTAAATGAATGTGATAATTATATAAGCGATTTGGATATTGATTCAAATAGACAATTTGTATTTGCAACATCGGGTGAAGGAACATTATCAGCATTTAATATTCGTTCACGAAGATTAGAACCACCACAATCAGAATTATTTGATGCTGGTTTTCAATCGGTACGATATTTAGAGGAAAAAAATAAAGTTATTGTTGGTTGTGAAGATGGTGTTATCAATATATTCAATAATAGAGAATGGGGTAATATTAGTGATCGTTATCCAATACGACATAATAATGCCGGTACATCAAGTATTGATTGTATGGAAGTGATTGATGATGAACAAAATTTTCTTATATTCGGTACATCTGATGGTTCAATGGAAATAATAAGCCTATTTCCACATCAACATCATCAAACATTAATTGATAATCAATTGCAAGGAATTGAATGTATTGATGTTAATCAAATTACCAATCGAATTATTGGTACAACTGAAAATCAAATTTATTTATATCAATATGAATTAATTAAATCCGCTGATAATGATAATGACAATGAAAAACGTAAAAAGACAACTTATATCAATCAAAATAATAAGAAAAATGATGGTTTTTTTGATGATTTATTAACTAATTAATTAATCAAATTTTTTTTTGTAATTTTTCAATAAAATGTTTTATTTTTTTACAACAACAACAGATGTCGTTAGCAGTATCATAAATAAAATGTTAATAAAATATTACCGGATATCATCGATAAATGATAATAATTACATTATTGTGAATTTTTTGTAACTTGAATAAACTGGTTTTTTATTATTATAATTTTTTTTTTTTTTTGTTGCTTGTAATAATAATAATTATTATTATTATTGAATAAATGTTTCAAGGAAATGATTTGCGAGGCTACCCTTCTCTTTCTGTTTTTAATTCATTCATTCACATTCGGGGGGTAAATATTGAAGAAAAAAAATTGAGAAGCCTTTTTTCAGTGAACAAAAAAAAACATGCGAAAAATAAACTGTTTCCTTATTATAGTTTTTTTTCTTCTCTAAAAAAACGAAGAAAAAAAACTAGGAAGTATCCCTGTATATATATGGTTAATAATAACCGTTTCTTTTTCTTTTTTCTTTTTGTTGTTTGCTCAAAACATTCCGGTATAACCTTGAATAATTTTTATTTGAAAAATAAAAAATGAGAACAGTGACCGACCGACCAACCAACTATATCAGTCGACCTACCAAAAACAAAACGCAAAAAAAAACTCGGTCTTTAAGTCAAAAACAAAAACAGAAAAAAAAATTACCCGAAATGATTACCTGTTACACCAGTCAACCAACACACAAGTTGTCGAGAATAATTTTTCATGGAAATTTTCTTTTAATTTTTTGGAAATTTTCTTTTTTTTCAGAAAAAAAATAGCATCAGTTTTGGAAACATCCAAACTTATCACACAACTATTTTTGCATATCCACAATTCGACTGAAATGATTCATTTCATTTCCTTTTTGGCTCATTTCTTCTTCGTCTTTTTTTCTGCCATGTAAAACATCAATCAGTTTTTTTTCTGTTTCGCATATAGAATATATTATGTATGCTTTTTGTTGGAAAAAAAGAGTGGATGTCTTCTGTGTGCAGAGATGATGATGATGATGAAAAAAATAAATATGCCGATGACCTCGGTGACACCAAAAAAGAAAAAGAAAAAGAAAAGAAGATTATTTGGTAATAGAAGGATTGGTGAATAGCCGATTGATGAATGAATGAATGAATGAGAGAGACGAATTGAGAAAATCAACCAGAGCAAAACGAAAAAAGGTAGAAAAATTAGGCCAAGTTTATTGTCATTATCAATTGAATGAATCAGTTTTCTGTTTTGAATATTATTATTCCTTTTGAGTTTAGAATCGATTGGAAAAAAACCTGTTGAATCATTATTTGACACAGCAAATCAACCAAATATATTACCTGAGAACCGGAAATATTATCATCGCCATCATCGTTCCTATTTCGTTTTTTGTTTTGTTTTTTGGTTTTCCAAGAAAAACAAACTCTATTTTCATCCATCCAAACATAAATCAAAATAATGATTTGTTTGTTTGTTTCATAAACATTATAGGCTCGAAAAAAGCATCATTTCTTTTTTTTTGGCGGCAATGAGAAATTTTGAAAATTTCAACAAAACAAACAGAACAAACAAACGAATGTGACACTATGGTGGAATGAAAAAGAAACCAAGAAAAAATGACGAATTGAAAAAGGAATGACCTTTGGAAAGAAAAACTAAAGAAAAAACAAGATGATAACGATCATCATAAAACATCATCAGCCAAATGAAACATTTATCCCAAATGAAACATTGTCTTTTTCTTCTTCTGCAGTCTGTCTGGTTTGTTTGTTTTGGAAAATATTTTTTCTCAATTTGTTTATGTGTATCGATCGCGATATGTGTGATTGATTTTTTGGATGTTTGTTCTTCGATTTCCTTATTTCTTTCTTTCATTTGTTTCTTTCATTCTTCGAAGTTAAAATATGAAAAAAAACTAAATGAAAGAATCTTTTTCATTTTCATTATGAAATAATTGTTTCGGATCAAATATCATTAGAAATTTTTTTGATTTTTGATTTAACAAAAATAAATATCAAACGTACATCATCATCATTTGTCAAATATGATTTATCAAATCATTTGATATTATTATTATTGTTACCATGATGATAATTAGCTTCGATTTTTTGATTTAACTTGGTTTTTGGTTGATTTCATTTGACATATGATTGTGAAAAAATTTATGGATGATATTTATCATTCGTAAAAAAACCATTGTTGTTGTTTTGACATTTAAGGATTTTTTCGAAAATTTTTCGAAAAAATTTATGATCCTTTTGGGAAAAAATTTGCTAATTTCCGCATCATTTGTCATCGAAATGTCAAAACATCATCAAAAAAAAACATGATAAACACTCGAATTTGATTTTTTCATTTTTTCAAAAATGTTTGCTTGATATTTATCACCAAAAATCAAATCGATTGATTGATTGATTATCGACCAAAAATGAATATAAAATCGATTCGAAAAACTACCACAAAATCAATTGAAAAATCATCAAGAATTTTTCTTTTCTTTCTTCTCACTCTTTTATCATGTGATATTGATACACACTTGTGAAACCAAAGAAAAAAAGATACCAAAAAAACAAAACAAAACAAAAAAATCATATTTTTTTTCTTCAACCAAACAAACTTAAACTTAAACTTTCAATGTTTGAATCAACAGTTTTTGTCCTTCAACGGGTTTCCTCTATTTTCTTTTCTTCAATTCATTGTTTCTGCAATACTTTTACAACAACAACAACAATTCAATCCCGAAATAACTAAAAAATACCCATTTTGAAACAATCATTTGTAAACACACACAGAGGGAGAAAATGATAGAGAAAAACATCAATAACTAAACATACAAGGTGTACCAAAATAACAACGACAACAAACAATAATTTTCTTCAACATTGAAATGATAGGACAGGATGTCTTTGTGTGATTTTTGATTTGTTTCTTGATGCTTAATGATCATTGTTAATTGTAATACGACGACGTTTGACGACAACAACAATCAACCATACCATACCATTCATTTACCCCGTCCAATTCTGAAATTTTTCATTATTTTTTTTGCATCAGTTAAATTGATGTTTGGTGTGTACTGTGAATGAGGCTGGTTAATGTGTGCATGGTGTTCTCTTCGTAATTTTTTTTCATTCAATTCATCAGTCGTTGTCCTTCACCTAATTTTCTGTTTTTCTGTTAGTTCATTGCCTCCCCTTACACAACAAAACAGCAGCAGCAGCTAACCAATTTTTTATTGTTGTTTTTGTCAAGAATTGATGTTTTTTGTTTTGTTTTGAAACTTTGAAATATGACTTTGTGAAATAATAAAGTGTTAAGAAAAGATTTTCTCTATTGTTTCTTTGATTCAACCCAAAATACACAGCAACAAACACAGGTAGGTAAAAGGTAATTTTTTTTTTGTTGAAACCAAAGAATGGAGAAAAAAATCCATTTTTTTCTAGTTCAAAGTTCATTATTAATATATTCCTAGAGCACCTAAACACACCTAGAGATTTACTTTTTTTTTGTTTTCACATTTCCTTGATCCAATTTCAAAAAAAAACATCCAAAAGAGTTTTTCAAAGAAATTTTTTTGGAAAAAACTGTGCAATGAAATAAGATGAGGATATTTTTGGACAAGAAAAATTTGATGAAATTTCTGCAAAATTTCCGGTATTTCATTCAATTGAAAATTTGGGGGTTCATTGAATTTCTCTCTCTCTCTCTCTCTCTCTCTCTCTCTCTCTCTCTCTTGCTCTATTCGCGCATTACAGTTAATAAATCATTCATTTTTTTCCATCATATTGACTTTATTTATCTATTTTTNATGGTTCAAGAAAAATTTGATGAAATTTCTGCAAAATTTCCGGTATTTCATTCAATTGAAAATTTGGGGGTGCATTGAATTTCTCTCTCTCTCTCTCTCTCTCTCTCTCTCTCTCTCTTGCTCTATTCGCGCATTACAGTTAATAAATCATTCATTTTTTTCCATCATATTGACTTTATTTATCTATTTTTTTTTCTCCAAAAATAAATCCAAATAATCAAATAATGTCATTCATTTGTGTAAATGTTTTTATCTTGGTTTTCTTTCAAACGAAACTGCAAAAAAACATTCAAATGTCGATGACCTTTTTTTGTTTTGTTTTTTCCAACGATTCATTCATTCATTCATGTCTCTCATTTTATCTCTCTTCTTCGTGTGTATCGTGTGGGTGTTTATTCATTGTCATTATTACGCTGCTGATGATGATGATGATACTGATAGAAATTCGTTTCTTTTCGTTTCATTCAGGAATTTTTGTCTTCTTTTTCCTGATTTTGTGCATACCAAAAATCTCTTATTTTTATTTCTTGGAAAATTTCTTTTCAAAATTTTTGATCGTCGTCATCATCGTACACACACGTGCTTCACAATTTTTTCCATTGACTATTTTTTTTTCAACTATTCCAGGTCAAAGGTAAAAGGTATCATGGAATCACTCTTATTAGCATAAATTGACTAACAACAACAACAAAACGCTACTAGGTGAACTGTATATGCCTAGAAGGCAAATAAGAACAAAAAAAAAACGGTTCATATCATGGATGAACAACAACAGCAACAACCAAACAAACAAAAAATTAGGTAATTTATGGACGTCAAACGTCATTATCATCATCAAAGACAAACGAATAAATAAAGAAACCCAGAAAAAAAAGAATGGTCAATTCATGGACCTTGTGCACATATGAAAATAATCAACAACAAAAAAATATTCATTTCACACATTGTCATGAAATCTGGGTAAAATTGAAACATCGTTATTTCAGATGATGTGGTGGGATGTGTTTGGTTGGCCTCATTTTTTTCGTTTCTCATCTGGTTTGGTTTCTCATCATAAATTCATTCATTCATTTTTGGTTGAAAGGCCATATGAATATTTTGGCTGGCTGGATGGATGGCTGGTTTGCTTGGTCATTCTTTGGGATGGATGAAAAAAATAGCAGCCAAAGTTCAAATGAAAAAAAAAATCTGGACCTAGCTAGCTAAATATACAGTGAAAGCAAATTCATTTCTGAAAAAAATCAATGTTTCGGAACAGCTTTCTATTTTTGCTTCTTTTTCAAATGATGATGTGAATGATTGTTATCCGATAATAAATGGTAGAAATTCTAGGAAAAAAGAGGAAAAAAAAAGAAGAAGAATGACCATTGAAAAGTGAAAATATTTTCTTTTTTCACTGAATTTCTGTTCACTGAAAAAAGAAAAGAATAAGAAAATTTCTCCGAACTGAACACAAATCAAGCAGATTTTGACCTGGCTAGCTTTGTTTGCTGCACACCGTTATTGGATCGATCCACAGAAGAAAGAAGAAAACTCTTATCAATAGGCCAACCGGAGAGAGGAAAAAAAGAAAGTGAAATTTTCTTCGTTTTCTTGGGCAAAAAAAAAACAAAGTTCTTAGCCATTCCATCAAAGATTTCTTGATGATTTTTGATGGAAATCATCATCTTTTGATTTGAAAAACGTCAACAATTTAGCCGCGAGGCGAATTTCTATGAACCAAAAATTGAAACCAAAAACTTTCTCTCTATCCACACTGCGCGCGTAATTGTTCATTTAAACTTTTAAATAAATTTCTTCTAAACCGTCGGAACCTAGAGCAACGAAAAAAAAACTGAAATGAAATGAAACAACAGAACTAAGCTAAAACTGAAACAGAAAATGCCGACCTTCAATCGATGATGATGATGATGATGAAAAAGCAACAAACCGAAAACCGAAAACCAAAACTGAAAACAAAAAGGCCATTGACATCATCATAGTCGTCGTTGTCTTTATCCAATGACGATGATCATCATCAATAATAATAATCACATATTTATAATCGCATTTAACAAAACAACAGAAAAAAATATGGCATATTTTGAAGAAGAAAATATTCATTTTTTTCGTTTTTTATGGGCTAGATTTTGTTTTGTTCCAATCTTCTGGTTTATGCGGCGGTTGTTCTTCATCATCATTTTTTTCCTCTGAAAAACATGGAAAACTTTCATTACCAAAATGGATGAAAATGCAATAATTTGTGGGCATTATGGTTATTTCCATGAAACAGAAACAAAACGAATCGAATCGATGTTGGAAAGTAAAAGTAATGATAATGGTTTCGTAGGAAACAGAAAAAATCATTGCGTTTCTTAGGGTGAACACCTGCAAGAGAATAGTTAAGACATCCATAATTCATAAACGGAAGTAGAGTGAAACAAATTCAGGTAATGTTTCTGTTATTGAATAGAAAGAAAGTGAGTGAAAATGGCTTGTGCACTTTGACCTGGTAAACTACTAAATAATGAAAATTTTCATTTTCATTTTCAATATGAATTTCGTTAAGTACGTGCAAACCAAAAACTGGTAAATAATCGAATAGTAATTGTTGTCGTAACATATGCATATATGGAGAGGCTTGTTTATTTGAATGAATGAAAAATATTTTTCATTCAAATAAAGAAAATTCAAGAAGAAATTTTTTTTCAATGAAAATGAAATGAACCTTATGAATGACCTGAAATTGTTTACAATACGTGTGTGTGTGTGTCCAGAAAAGAAAATGTCCGGCTGTTGTTGAAAAATTTTTTGTTGTTGTTTATGAAATAGCCAATGGACAACAACAACAACAAAAGCAATTGATCGATATGAATTGAATATCGATATCTTGGACATTGGTCAGTGTTTGATGAATGGAAGAAAAAGACCTTGATCGCCATTTTTAGTTAGTTTTCTTATGATGATTATGACGATGATTATGATGATCAGCTGCCGATTTCTGGCTTTTGATTATGAATTTTTTCTTTATTTCTTTCTTTATTCGTCTTTTCTCGATGACATCATTCATCAAACAACAAAAAACAACAACAACAAAGACATTACCGGTTACATATTTTATTGGTTACACACACACAAACACATGGCCATCAAATGTTCATGACCGACCGAGGTCATCATCATCATCATCATAATCATAATCATCGACATTGTAGTCTTCGTACATTGACCATTGTCCATGATCATTTCTTTTCTTTTTTCTTCAATAGGTTGTGGCTATAAATATGAATTTTGTTTGTTTGTTTCATTTTTGTTTTCACACATTGTTATTATTCGAAAAGATTCGATCGATAGATCGATAAGAACAATCGATAGTACATCTTACATCTGGAATATCTGGAACAAGTAACCAAAAAAATGAATGAATGAATGAATGAAAAAAAAGTCAAATTATCAAACAAAAATATGAAAAAAAAGAATAGGATTTGACAAACAACAATTGTGGCCAATTTCTCTCAAGGTTTTTATTTCAATGTTTTCTAGCTTGGTGGTTTACCGGCCGGCCGGCTGACCGATGTCATTTAGGTCATTTATTAACACCAACCAACAAACAATATTCATCATCATTTTATGATTTAATACAATTCACACCTGATACATCTCTTTCTTTCTTTCTTTCTCGATCTTTCTTTTTCTCATTTCCATGGTCATTTTTTTTGTTGAAAATTTTCGTTAAAATTAGACCCAAGTTGAATAGAGCAATGACCTTTATACAAAAACAATGTGTTTTTTCTCCTGTTGATTATCGATTCATTCGATTTAATAGAATCGATAGAATCGATTATTTTGTTTTGTTTAAATTTGAAATTCCAATATTGAAATTCCTGAAATTTTTTCGCTTTACTTGTTGCACACACACAGAACAACATCCGATCGTTCCAAAAAAAAAAAAGTTTTTTCACTCGTTTGACCTCTATGGCCTTTCGGTCTTTTGGTTTTTTTTCTTAACTACCAACCGAGTGAACACACACGCACATTTTGTTCCTTTTGGATAGTCGTTTTTTTAACCACCCTCGTCAATAAAAAAAAATACAAATTTTTTTTTCTTGGTTCAGAAATTTTTGATTCTCCTCCTCCTACTACCGCCTTTCAAACGAACCACCATTATCATATTTTAGAAACCGCAGCCAATTTTCCATCACAACCACCACCACCACCAGTTGATTGATCTCTATGGTCTTTTTCAATCATTTCTCGTTCAACTAACTCACCCACTATTTCTCTCTCTCCTTTCATTCCATTATCGTCATCATATATATGCATGCATATATATTATCTGTCTGGCCCTGTAAAAAAAAAGGAAGAACAACAAAAAAAAAATTTCGGTTAGTAGTTTTGTATAATTGTTTTGTTCGTATGTTTTTTTTTTTTTTTTTTGGTTGTAAAAAAAAAAATTATATGACCCAACCGTTCGACCCGAAGCAAAAAAAAAATGTCTTTTGTTTTTTTG